AACAGACCCATAGGGAGAGGGAGATTTTCATGTCACAAGATGTGAATCCAGCCTTCCCAGTCATCACTAAAGCCATAGCCACAAGCTCATCCTGACTCTTTGGCGACAGCTCTCTAGTGAAATGTGTTTTCTCTGGTCTAATCCACTACATTGTGCTCTGTGCCGAGATTGTCAGCTCATTGTAACAGCTCCAGTTCAGGTTTTGTTCTCTTTTCAAATAATAGTGAAACAAATTCATCTGCGAGCTACGGATTAATAGCTGGCATGGATTTGGGCCAAAGTACTTGAATGCATTCATGAAATTTCACTTCATCCCTGATGTCTTTTCCTCAAGAATAATTTAAATTTTCAATTCTTTCTTTTATCTTAGTTGTGTTTCACTTGCTTGTAAATACACATAATACATCCTGATTTTGTTTGCATGTTGTTTGTCTTTCTCGGGAAAATAGATAAATAATTAATCGGTGAATAAGAGGCAAACTGGTGTTGGAGTTATGCCAGATCTAACCTTGGGTCTTCTCTGCTTCTTTATTGTCTTAGAGGGAAAGAGAAATGAAACAAAGAAACAAGAGCACTTAGAGCATATGATGAATTACTAGCTGTAAAGAAGGGCATTAAGGAAAACTTCCTTTCCAAGAGCATCTTTGGCTTATTTGATACAGTACTGTTGTCAGGTGTATTTGGGTTGTTTTGAATGGAGAATGATAAAAAAATGTTGTTTGTATGATAATTAAATGCAGCTGCCTACAACTACCAGTCAGGATCAAGTTCAGACATTTCAGCAGCAGAAGCACAAATTCCTAAACTGAAGGAGGAACTCCTTCATCTAGAAATGAGTAACAGGCTATTACAGTCTCTGCAGCCAGCTGTAGAAGGGAAACATTCAGTACACTGCAATTATGCCATGCATCATAACCTCTACAGTTATGTGCAGAGTAAATGTAGATTGATCATTATTAACTTCCAATTTTTCTGAAGAATCAGCCTAAGTACCTCACATAAAAGAAAATAAACTCATTAGAAGATGTTGAAATATGAAAAAAAGTCTAGGTTTCTTTTTCCCTTAAGTAGGTCTCCTCTATTGTGTCATTGTGGATCCTTGGTTAGCACTGCCTGGAAAATGGGCAGTTAAGGAGACCTTGATTTGTACAAAATAGCCTGAGATGGCAGAGAAAAAGAAAAATATTTTGATTCCTAAACACAGCTGCTCTGTCTCCTGGGAAATGTAGTCCACGTATTGCAAAATTATATTCTTCATTGTAGGTTAGGTTCCCTGTAATAAATAAGTAGACCAACATGCCCTCCTCTTCCACTTTATTTGTTCAAGGAAATGGTGCATCACAGCAGTCCACAACACAATGAAGGGATAACACAGCCTAAAAAGAACACTATAAGACAACCAGAGTAAATATATGAAAGACCCAATAATGTTGCAAAATTGTAATAGTAGAATTATTCTCACTGCTTCAGCTGCATTTCTCTGCAGAGAACAAGCACCATTGACCAGAAGCTTTTTAAATTAAAATAGTTCTATCAAAAGCTCAGCTCTTCACCTAAACCAGACTAGAACTTCACAGTTTTTGGTCAGATTTCCTGTTGACAAATTGAGCAGACACTGCTTCTGCCTGCTTCTTTCTCAGCCCCCTGTGAATCAGATTAAATGATGGGGGCTGCTCCCTCCAATTCTCATACATGAATTGCAGTGCTGAGATGCCTTTATGATCATGATCATGCCTTCTAGCAGAGATTGCTTCTCCGAAAGCTTGATGGAAACAACCCTCTTAGAGAGAAAGGAAGCAATTTTTTCCTCAGAAAAACTCTGTAGGGGAAAACAGCCTTCTCTAGATTCTGGCACAGTATGTTAAATATCTTCTAGCAGGCATACAGAGAAAGGCATGCCTGACTGTTTTCTGACACACAAATCCCATCTTCAATAGGCATTCTGAAGGGAGTGGGGCTTTGTGGGGGGCTGTTGTTTCTGGAGAATTCAGTGGAACCCAGTATATTGTGTTGGCTGTCCCAGAAACTGGCATTTTACTGAAAATGAAGCAACAATAATGAATCAAATCTACTGGAAAGGCAATGTGCTAGGAGAAAGAAATCCAGTAATGATAATGCTAGCCTGTAGTTTTACAGACTTCAGTGTCCTGGTATGCCACAGATTTCCTGCATCCATCTTTTAAACCTGAAACTTCTTAGGGATTAACACCTTCTGATGCTGGTTTTATCAATAACAGAAACACTTTTAAATAGTTCTGGGTCCAAAATTAGAACATACAATAGTCTTTCTATAAGTTTAGATTACTGCAGTGCTCCTAGATTGTAGATTCCTGCATCACTGTTTTTTAAAAATTTGATAGGATAAGTGAATCTAAAGTGTGTTCATGTCTAGTTTTAAAAATTTAAACACGATTTGGGATTTTGAATACAGGGATCTCAGCTTACTTAGTATCCCAGCAACAAGGCCTGAGATCCTGGCTGACTCAGGACCCTTACTTAAAAAAAAAAGCTAAAAAGAGAAAGATACAGAAGAAAGAGATTGGAGAGAAAAAAGGTCCAGTAGAAACAGCAACAGGAGAGGCACTGATTTCTCCTCTCTGGTGATTGGTGACAGGAACTGAGGGAACAGCATGAAACTGTGTCCAGGAAGGTTTAGGTTGGATATCACAAAAAAGTTCTTCACCCAGAGAGTGTTTGGGCACTGAAACAGGCTCCCCAGGGCAGTGGTGACAGCACCAATCCTGGCAGAGTTCAAGAAGTGTTTGGACAATGTTCTCAGGAACATGGTGTGACTCTTGGGATGTCCTGTGTAGGGCCAGAAGCTGGACTTTGATGATCCTTGTGGGTCCCTTCCAGCTCAGGATATTCTGTGATTCAGTGATTCAATGAACAGGAACTCAGCACTTGTTCGGGTTTAGGCCAAAGCTGGCAAAAGTCACAAGTCACCAAGGGCTTCCTCCAGAGCCTGATCTGCTCCAGCAGTGCTTTGGTGTAATTCAGCACAAAAGTGATGCAGGAAGCAGCCATTTAAAAATGTCTCACTTTCCTTTCATGACCCCCTTAATTCTCCTTCAGTCTTGTTTTTTTAATGGCCCTTCTGATGGTTTGAATAGCTGATCCCTCTATTAGAAGTTAACAGATGTGAGGTTAATGCAGCACATTGTTTTCTAGTTGTGTTTCCCTTTTCCTTACCACAAATTATTTTAGCAGAACAATTAGGGTTTTTTGTTTGGATTAATCCAAGCCTTTTCCTGCTTTTTATAGACAAATCATTGTTACCTTAAGCAACTTAGCATATTGGGCATATGAAATAGTCCCAATCATCTTTTTCATCTATGTTTGTATAGCAGCTAACAAAATAGAGCCATGCTCCATGCTGGTATCTCTGCAGAGCTATAACAATGTAAATAATTAATAATAACTGTTGTTCAACACTTGAATAGGAGTCTCTTGTTTGTAAACAAAGAACATTTATTTTCCCTGTATTTCTTATTGCATAAAACATAAAATCAATCCAAAGGAAGGAAGCTGTCTTACTCATACACTTGGTGAAATTCCTCAGAACTCTACGACATTTCAAAAGTGAAAGGTCAAATGGATTTTTAAAATAATTTTAAATATTTTTTACTAGCAATGTGGGCAAAAAAATGTGATGTTTATGTTAACAAATTTGTCTGCCAAAATGCAGTTATAAATCAAATAGGCTTTGTGGCAGTATTGTCAAAATGATAAGAGAAAAACAATGAACAGATTTGGAAAGAAGGAAATTTAAAAGGGCATCTTACTACAGTATGTAAATCCAATTACAAAAGCAGAATTGTATCAGAAGTCAGCTGTGCTTTTTCCACACAACATGCCTTAAGAAAGGAACATGAATTGACATTGCAGAAAAATTAACTTGTTTTGCTGAGTCTCAATATGTCTCTATCTTGCATGTATTGTAATACTTTAGTATTAACAGGAAAAAGCCAAAAGATTTTGATTAAAGCTGTGGGTTTTAATTCCAGAAGATATGAGAGTCATGATTTTCCATTGCATAAGGCATATCATCCCTCTTGTGGTATAAACACTGAGTGTTTTGATTTATGTCATCCAAATATATCTATGTTCCTTATCAGACAATTACATTATATCTATGTGCCAATTAAAGAAAAGGTCTTTGCCCTAAAAATCCTCCTGTAAGTACACAATATTAAAAACAAGTTCATTCCCACTTAAAAGTTTGGCATTTATGCATACATAACCAATCAGATACTAATGGGACAGGGAAAGGCACAAACTCAAGGTAAGGAAGGTGGAAGATAAGGTGATAAGGAAGAATTCATGGATGACACATAGTTGAATATTTCAATTTCTGTCTTTTTCTGACCACTTCAGGACTGAATCAAGAGGAAAAGGAAAATAAATATTACCATTACTACTTGCAACACAGCAGTGTGAAGGTTTTCTAATCAGATCAGAACACTATAGTACAAGATGTGAAAAGAGGATTCCTCTTCCAAAAACATGACAGCAGAATAAAAGTGCTTATACCTTAGAGCTCTTGTCTTGAGGTCTGCTAGAAGAACATAAGTGTTTGGTAATTCTTCATTGAGGCAAATTCACTGAATCCCTCATTGTTCATGCTCTCCTCAGAGCTGGCTTTAAGCATAACCTATTCAAGAAAATACTTGGTGTCCCTTTACCTCTGGAGACTCTGCACACGCAGTGCATCAAGCCCTCACCTACACAGAGGAGCTGCAATGACAGTAACTCCCTCTTACTTTCAGCACTAATGTACATGGAGCCCTTTTCCGTGGGGCTCAGAGAAGCCATATGCAAAGTGAGATAAAAGCTTACACATGGGAATTCACAGAGGAATGCATCTTTTGCCAGTGACAGGCAGAAGCTTTTGGGTACTTGGCCTCTTGAGGAGTATTTTGACTAGGAACAGTTGTCCAGCTGACTTAGAGCAGGGCCTGCAAATCTGGCAACAGGATTGGCCCAGGAATTTGACAAAAATGGGTAATGTGGTTCTCTTTTCTTCACTATCGCAGTAAGACTCCATTTCTAAATGATGAGTAGCACCTTGCATTTTCTGTCTTTCCACAGTAACATCACAGACATGCCCTGTCATTGTGTCCCCTGTGAGCTCCCCAGATGTACTGCTTTCATAAACTTGGAGAACTATGGTGCACTTCAAATCTGCAGCATTTTTCACTGTCAGCCTGTATTTCTCAGATCACATTCACTGCATTGCCTTGCACTTTTAGTGCTACCATTTGCTGATTGTCACTGGCAAGAGCCTTCAGCAGGTGCTCACTTTTCCTGCTGGATAACTGACAAAAGTGAAAAATCCCTGTCCCTTTCAGCTAAGTTCCTTCTGCAGCATGCGTGGGGATATGAGCTTGAGGTGACCCCAGCAGCCTCAGCTAAGCCTTGTTCTATTGTTTTTTACTAGTTCAGCTGGACAATGCCTTTGTGGAGACTCAGTGCTGTCCCCCCCTTATATTTCACAAACTTCAGTGGCTGTTTTATGACCATGCTATCCTTTCTCTTATTGTTTTTATGTATATTGCTTTTTTCTGGGTTGCTGCCAAGACACGGCTTGTTTAAGAAATAAACCAAACCCAGATCCTGGCTTATGTCACCCTAATAACCTCAACTCTGTGGTTTTGTCTCTAGGGTGTACAGTTCATGACATCAAGCCACTTCATAAAATTGAACTGGGTTTGATGGCTCATGGATTTTGCTCCAAAATCCCTGAAATTAACTAATTTCCCACTGACTAAAATTGTCTTCAGATTCATCCTTTGAGTTATCTGGGAGTCACTTGGTAAGATCTTATAGTTCCTGTGAAAAGAAAAATGCATTAAGTTTTGTAGCAGATTTCACCAACAGTTCTCCAAGCACTTTTCTTGCAAGGAAAAGTATCATTATCTCTGTTTTATAGGTCCTTAACACATTTTTGCATAGGCTTGGCAGAATGTTTTTGAACACATTCTTGTCTTGTCACTGCTCGTTTCCTCTAAAATGGTTTTCTTAGATAAACAGACATCTGTTAATATTTGACCACACTTTTTTCCCCACAATCCCTTTCCTTTTTCAGTGTACAGGGTAGAGGGTGCTCAGTAGGTGCATAGCTTTTCATATTTTAACTTCCATGATCCATGTGTGTCCCTTGCCTCTCTCTTTTTATGCTTCTCAGACTTCCCTCTGATGTGAGTTTTACCTCTGTGTTGTTTATCATTTAAGAGCTCAAGAGCTTCATGCCTGTGATAAGCTTGTCTTTCCATTACATAGTAGAACAAAACAGGATGTCTTTCCACTTCACAGATAGGGAATATATGGTTGAGTTTCCTATTTTGAGTGTACCGTTTAGCAGTCAAAGATCTCCTATTTCAGAATAGTCAGCTGTACAGAGCATTGAGTACTCACTGCACTGCTCCTATTCAATTCAGTTTCTCTTACGAGTGCTCAGCATTTCTACAAATCTGTTCAGATACCAAGTTGGATACTCAGAAACAGAGATATGAACATTTAGAGATAATGTGGGGAAATTTTCATTTAAGCAATTTGCCCAGTGTTACAGAGGTCACATTGCATTAACGATAAGACCATCTTTTTCCTTTCAGTTATCTCCTGCCTTTAATTATACATCTCCCAACTATTGCAACAAACAGCTTAGGCAATCTGTGAGGAAAAAATAATTGTGTCATTAAAAACCCTATTCCACAAACTGTGTTCAAGGGAGGCTACTATGATTTTTCAAGCATTCTTTATCTGGCATCTCCTGACTTTTTGAGTGAGTGACTTTGTTCCCTCTGAACAGAGTTTTGTATGCATGTGATCTCCTTTTTTTTTTTTTTTTAAATCAATCCGGACAAAAAAGATTTTCATTTTGAAGGTGATATTCTGTCTTTGACATCACTAAAATTCCACATCGCCATCCTGGTTGTTGAGACACCATAATTAACTCATAGAAATAGCAAATTGCCATCTGTAGATAAGAGCGTGTTGAGGCACAAACTGACTGAGAGCAGAAATCTGGGAATCTAATGGCTCTGGGGGAGGGTGTGTCTACAGCTTCTGCTGTCCTGCTAGCTCCTGTCTTGTTACCTTAAGTTTCATCCACCAATTTTTAAAATTCTGTTGTGTTTTCCTCATTCAATCCATCATTCAGTCCTAGACTCTTCCCAGTGTCCTCATGCCATCACAGATTCCTCATGCACCCATGAGTTTTGCCCACCATCCCTACCTGCATCTCTACGGTCTCTCTTAGAGCCGCCCTTCACACTGGTTCCTGATCATGTTTCCTTGCTCATCATGATCACCAACAGACTGATATGAGTTCTGGTATGATTGTGGAAATACTTTTCAGCCTGTGAGCTCCCAAGAGGCCAAAACCAAAGTCAAATAGGTGCATGCATATTTCAAGAGAAGAAAATGAGAAAAAAAAAATTGTATGGACTTACTAACAATTGCCAGAGCTTTGTGACAGGCAACAGTCAACATTCTTTGAAACAGAATTCAGGTCTCCTAACTTCTGTTCTTGGCCTGCAAAACAATCTTGTGCTTATAAGACCTATGTTAAATGATTTATTATTTGCTGCAGTGGAAGCAAGAGGCAAGACTCTGTATTACTCTGACACTGATCTCCTTCCATTCCCACTGACTTCTGCAGGAGCTTACCCCCATACCCAAGGGGAGACCCAGGTGCACACCAGGCTGCTCCATGTACAGGAAACCTCGAGGCAGAGAACACTTGGGAGCCATGGTGCTCTCTAGGAAGTGCTGGCCTGGTGCCCAGAGGAGCTGGGGCACAGGACATGACAGGAAGCACATCAACAGGCAAATACAGTGACAGTCTCAGTCATGGTCATGAGGTTGTGCTATGTGCAACCAGCATAAAAACCAAGAGCAAATCAATGTCCTGCACAGTCCCTTTCACAGATCCCTTTCACTTTTTTTCCCTCACTCCTCTCTACTTCTGTTTTAGTGGTGTCCACTATTACTTTTCTGCCTCTTTTTCCTTGGCACTCTATGTTTAACCCTTTCTGGTTTTTTCCTTTTCTCTTCAATACTTTTTCTTTCTACTTCTTTTCTTTCCCTGTTGATCCTCAGCTGTTTTTCCTCCTTTTTCCTACTGATTTTCCTCCCTGACAGCTAGGGATTGAGCCAAAGCCTGCTGAAGTCAATCCATTACATTCAAAGAGTTTAGGATCAAGGTCTTATTTCCGCTTGCTTCTCTGCTTCTTCTACAATCTCTTTTCCTGTGCAGCATTCTCTGTGGTGTTTTCCTCCTAAAAGATGGGTTACTGCAATATGCAGGGAAGGAAGAAGGTTTATAGAGAAAATCCTAAGGACCTAGTAAATTCCTTACAGGATTGCTAAATTGCTACTCTGAGTGCACAGCTGCAGAAAGCCAAGGGATTTGATCATAAGATTAGGGGAGTTTTTCATGCTTGCTTCATCACAGCACAGATTCTTTCATATGGCTCTGAGTAGTGGTCTTTGCAAAGACAAGGGTTTCCAGGAGGAAAATCCCTCATTAAACTCTGCCATATTACATGTTGTGGCTGCTGACTGCATAGTCATACACTTAATTAGTCTGCTGATCTTAAGCTCAAACAGGCAATATTTAATCTCACAAACTAATTCCAGGAAACCTGAAAATGGAGGGGAAAACCCAATATTGACTGGATATTTACTAATATAAAATCATGCAAATCCACACAAGGCATCTCTAATACATACCATGTATATGTGTGCATGTGTGTGTGTACACATGTGTAAAAAAGTAGATACAAAGTTATCTATCTATGTATGGAGAGGGAAAAGTACTGAATATGTATATATTGGATATATTGGTTATATTCTCATAGGATAGGTGTGTGAAAAATATATTAGTAGAACATAGTCTGCAGTAAATATGTGCTGATGGTTGAATGTTAATACATTTTTGGACATAATATGAAGACAGATGCACAGCTACTGTGAATGGATACAGCTCCACTAAATACTGAGGCCAGTAGTGCAAACATTGTTTTACACCAAAGAGTATTTTGATTTTATTTTTATAGTCCTGTCTTTATGTTTGGTCTTTCATTTGGATTAATATTTTGTGCACTCAGACCAGAGGCATAATAACTCTACTTGCAGGAGAAGCCCCACCTTCTCTGTTGGTTTGAGGCTACCCCGATGAACACGGCAGAATCAGTCCTGTTATGTGAACTTGCATATTGAAGTCAAACATTTTGCCAGCAGAATAGCGACCGATATTGTTCAAAAATAACCAGAGAGGCCCCTGTTACTGGAGTATGTAGGTCATCACCATCCAGGGGGTATTAGCTAAACTCCACTTATGCACCTATTTTTGATTTATAGGTGGAGACGTCAGCCCCCATAGATCACATGACGTGGAAATCCTCATGCAGGAAACCTGTGGTTGGACTCTGCATTGAATTCAGATCTCTGCCCTCTTCACAAGCTCATTGTTCAACGCTTTCCCGAAGATACAGTAAAGGTAAAGCAGCCTAAATATTTTTTAAAGCCTAAATATTTTCTGCAAATCACTGGAAAACTGTTGACCACAGTAGCTGGGGAACATGCAGCAGTGCCGCAGTCAGTGCACAACAGCTAGACTCCAATGGTTGTTTTAATCTTGTTTAACTATTGTCTCAGCAGGTAACTGTGAGACATAAATTATCAACTACCTGCCAGCAAGGTGCCTGCTCTGTAGAAGGCTTTTATTTTACTCAGGAACACATTATATCCAGCTTTGGAGACTCAGTCAAAGAAACGACAGTGTTCTTAACAGTAGGGCCTCTTAAATGTAAAGGGGCATGCAGACCTCAGACTTAGAGAAAACAATAAAAACTATAATGGAAAATATCTAGGAGGAAATACTTGGAAAATATCTGTACTCAACTTTTAACTGATTCCTGCAGTACTGACTGTTTTTTTCCTCTCATATATATAAAGAGCATCTGTCTACCTGTGGTCCAAAAGTACTTTTATTCTAGAATGAAGAAAACAACAACCATAAAGTACAAAAGTAAAATTCCCATGAAAGCACACTGCATGTGTGTATTTTTTCTTTGTAGTGTTCAAGGTCTGTACAAAAAGTCCAGAGGCCTTCGAGGTCTGGAAGGAATGGAAAAGGATATGATGTAGCAAATGGAGGCCCAGAGTTCTATGCTGCAGAGAACATCATTAGAGAGCACTGCTATTGAAGCATTCCAACTTAACTCCATCCCAGCTTGCCTCCATGCCATTCCCATTGACCTCAGTGAGGGAACCAGGTGAAAAGCACAAATATGTCACACCTTGAATAACAGCAGTCTCTTGAGAGTCATGATGTATTTTAAAATAGTGTTAAAAAGAGTTCATGCAACAGTATGAAACTAAAATGTGTGGCCTAAGAAACAATCCTTTATGTAACTGCTGCACCTTTGCATCCATGATTATGGTGTACTAATGGTATTCCATGGAACTTGCTAGTTGAGTTATGTGTATGGATATGCGGCATCTGCAGCCCTGCTGTCGGATGCTGAGGAGGCTGCAGGAGTGGAAAGCTGCCTTCAGGCTCTCCCCTCTGACAGATATCAGCTGGAGAAAAGCAATGTACAGCTGTGCCTCTTCTCTGAGACCACTCCCACGTGAAGTCCTACAGGGGCTGGTCCTGTCTCTTCCTTTTCATCATGTGCTGAAGAGCTGTAGGAAGGTCATGAGGAGCCCAGGGCTAGGATACCATCAATCTGTTGACGGCAACCAGCTCCTATGTCTCTTTTCAGCTGATGCAATCAGTGCCACACACAGATGTCACAAAACTTACAGGAGATAAGCCTGCAGATCAAAATCAGTTGGCTGAAGCTGAGCTAAAGAAGGAAGAGATGTTGCTGGAAGGAAGGAAGGAAGAGAACTTTGTGTAGTTAAGGCAATGAGAAAATCATGCTTCCATTCTGAGCAAATGACATGTAGTTTTGGGTCCCAGCAGAGCCTGTGTTGCCCCTGGATTCCGTATGGCTTGAAATTTGACTTGTATCTTTTTCTGTCTGCTCTGGTATCACTTTTTGTGGTACAGGTGACTCATTTTACCTTTTGTGAGAAGCCAACAGAGACTTGTTCAGGTTAAAAAGAGAACAAAGAATAAAGCTTGTCAAAAAAAGCAGAAACATAGAGGAAATGTGGAAGGTGTAATTCCTTACAGACATACTTACTGTCAGTCCAGTTTTGTATTTTATTCTTGGTAAAAGAGGTGTTTGAATGTAGATAGTCCAGTAAGGATTAGCAGACCCAGTTCAGGCTTTGGAAATGAACATGATCTGAAACTGTCTGGTTTTATAGCCTTGAGCAAATCATATAATCTCACTGCTACTGTTTTCTGATCTATAATCCAAGGGTAGTAATGCTTTCTTCTCAGTGGTGAATAAATGAATGCTTTCACAGTATTTTGCAGTGCCATATACAAATATTACAATTACAGAGAAGCAAGCAACATATGATATTAATGTCAAACAGATACAGGGTAAACTTGGGATACTGGAAAGCAGTGCACTGAGATACAACTGTAATGAGTTCATTAGTAATGCACGACTGGATTGATTAAGTAGTTGCCACTGTGTAAAGCCTTGTCTAGAGCCGATACTTGATATATTATTTTGACCTGCGACAGATGCTCAATGATCTTGTCTCTTAAGTTTTGGCAGAGCCTGTCATGTCAATACAAATTACTGAGCTGAACTGAACGAAAGAAGCTGTAGTTGCCACATGGATACCTTTTCTATATTCTCCTGTATATAAAAACTGCAGCTTCCCAAACTGGATTTTTATATAACCTTTCAGAAGCTCAGTTTGAAATAGCTTGTCTTCTTTTTTTCTTTCTTCCTGAGAATGTTTCCTCTTGCCATCACGATAAAAATGTACTGCTGTGACAAAACAACCATGTTCCCATGATTTTATACTTTCCTATCACAATGGCAGCACATCCTGTATGGCTATGACACGGCACAGAAAATTCTACCACACTGAGGTTACTTTTACATTGCCTGATAATGGTAACTGTGATGTGAAGCATCAGAAGATATAACATTTTTCTACACAAAAGAGTCACAGGAGGACTCAAGCAGTCTTTGAGGATCTGGATACCCAGCTGAGATTAGAGGTCTGGATGTGGCAGGGTAGTTGCATGCAGAAGCTTTTCAGCTATAGGCTGGGGATTTGAAGATGAACAGCATCTAGAAGAGGTTACCTATTCCTGGAAGTTTTGATAGCTTATTTGAACTGGGATTGAACTGGAGATCCAGACCCTTTTACTAGCAGGCTGATTATCACAGACTGGGAGGTTGGCACCAGCAGTGGTGGTAACTAGTGCAGCCCACCCATCTGTCCATCTATCCATCCCAGTGCAGTCAGTAAGGACTGCAGGTGAGAGGAGGCAGTGTGGATAGCAATAGGTTAGGGGTACAGATATTTGGCATAAAGGATGTTTTGTTTTGGGTCCTTCAACTGTGAAGTGAAAAGATTTGTGCTTTTTCCTTCCCTAAGTCTCCCTTCAGCCATCCATCCCTTCTAATCCCAAACTCCTTCTGATGGCTTCAGGGCTGTGCCTCATGTGTGCTTTCACTGGCATTTTAGCAAGAGCTGAGGATTGCTAACCTTGTTTTAAGGCAGGCTAACCGAGGCCTTTTGCAGATGGGAAGTGAGGCATAGCACTGTGAAATGATTTGCTAAAGGTTATCCAGCTGTGACTGAGAAAGTGTGCTCTGATTCTGCTGCAAAAGATGCCACAAAAGTGTAAATGTTAATAGTAATAACTTTCTCTATGTGTATTTCTGTTTTGCAAAATTGTATTTCCACCAGGGGACTTGTTAATGTCAACGTCATTCAGTTTTCATCATCACCACTTGAAGTGATCAGTCAGCTGTGTGGATCTACAAATTGCTCCCTTGCAGCCAGCCTCTTAGTCTAATGCTCGGGTGACAGTCAGTTGTAAGGATCAGGCTCGAAGATGCCTTTGATTTTCCTTTGATGTTTCTGAGCCAAGGAAGAATTTCACGCAGCCACTGGGCGGTAGGTGAAGATCCCTTCTGTTTGTGGGAAGCCAATTATAACGTGGCTGACCTGCCTTGACCTGAAGATTACTGGCAGGACATCTGGGATGTCCTTGCGAGGCAGAGCTAGCTCACTGGATGTGCCAGACTCGGGGCACAGACTGATTTGTTCGTCTGGATGCAGCAACCATTCCAATACCGTGATTATAATGCAGGCTGCACAAATTGATCCTGGTCAGACTCAGTGTATTTATTTATTTGCTTGCACTTTGGTATCATTGCCGACATGTGAGGATAAACAGGGTTCACCTTTAGGATTTAATGAGTGGGAACAACTTACAAAGACAACAGGTCCTAGTTTCTAATCCTCTCTACCAGTTAACTCTCTCTCCCCTTTCATTATTTTTGTTCCCTTTTTCACCTCTTATTCCAGATCTAAGATCAGCTAAAGCTTTAAAACCCCTGACAAACAAGCATCAGGAAAGAGGCTGTGTGCCAGAAGCCCTTTTGGAGTAAGGCACACGCCGGGAGAGAGGTAGAGGCACAAAGAACCCCGGACGGGAGGCTAGTGGGACGTGAGAGAAGAGCTGGAACTTGTTAACCTCGGCTGAAGCAAACGGGACTGGGATTTCGGGCAGCATTTCGGTAGGGGTTGGGCGTTTATTTCCCAGCGCGGGAAGGCTGCGGGAGCGGCACAGTCCCTCGGGGGATGAGCATCCCCGGCGCGGGCCGGACTACAGCCCCCGTCATGCCGCGGCGCGGGCGGGCGGTGGCGGCGAGCGCGCCTGCGCCGCCAGACGTGGCAGCAGCCGCAGCGGCGGCGGGTCCGGAGCGGGTCCGGCGCGGCGGCGGGATGGCAGCGCCGGGGCAGGGCGCGGGGGCTGCGCGGCGCCGCGGGCGGCTCCCGCCGCTCCCGCTGCTGCTGCTCGGCCTGGCGGTGAGTGGCGGCGGGGGGCGGCGGGGGCGGCGCGGGGTGTCCCCCGTCCCCGGGCCAGGGCGGGGGCGCGGCGCGGCCGGCGGAGTTGGGCGAAAGTTGGGAGCGGGACGGGCCCCCGGGGCCGGGCGCGGCGGTTCCCCCGCCGCTCGCACCCGCCGCCGCCGCCGCGGGCGGGCTCGGCTCGGCACAGCCCGGCATGGCCGGGCTCCGGCAGCGCTGCTCCCGGGTGTCTTCCCAGCGCTCAGCCCGTGTGCTGCTCTCCCGCTTCCCCTTTCCCTCCTTTCCCTTTCTCTCTGCCTCCCGAAGCACCGCCCGGAGGAAGCGCTCCCCGGCGTGCGGCAGCGGCTCCCCGAGCGGCGGCGGGCTGGGGCCCCGGCTGCCCCGGCCCCGGGGGCTCCGACCGGCGGCGCTTCGGTCCCAAGTTTCGTGTGGAAAGCGGTGCGGTGGCAGAGGGTTTCCAGAGGATTTCCCCCTTGGCGGCTGTGCCGCAGCGGAGCTGCCGCGCTCGGCTTTGTGCACCTGTGTGCGGCACCC